AAAGATGTCAGCTTGAGGACTAAGGTTTGCCTGACCCAAGCCATGGTATTTTCAATAACTTCATATGCATGTGAAAGCTGGACAGTGAATAAGGAAGACCATAAAAGAATTGATGCTTTTGAGTTCTGGTATTGAAGGAAAATATTCAAAGTGCTATCGTCTGCCAAAAGAACCAATAGATCTGTGTTGGAAGAAGTGCAGCCAGAGTGCTTCTTGGAGGCAAGGATTGCCAAACTTCGTCTCCCATACTTTGGGCATATTGTCAGGAGGGACCAGTTGCTGGAGAAGGATATTATGTTTGGTAAGCTGGAGGGTCAGAGAAAAAGAGGAAAGCCTCCAGCAAGATAGATTGGCAAAGTGGCAGCATCAGCAGGCTCAAGCATGGCACCAATAGTGAGGTTGGCCCAGGATTGGGCAGTGTTTCCTTCTGTTGTGCATAAGGTCGCTGTGAGTCGATACCAACTCAATGGCACCTAACAACAACAACATCCACAGCTAAATGATGTCATCTTAACAGTATTTTCTTCCACCTTTTCATTACCAGTAGAAATACTGCTTGATGAGAGTTACAGACTATGGTTAGGAGAGACATTAGATAATTCACTATACCACACTAGTGAATAAAATACGTTCCAAGCCCCAGAGAAGAGGTCAACATAAATGAGACAATAATGAAGATGAACTAACCTTTTCAAGCTGATCCACTTTTTCTGACCATTCCTATAAAAAAAAAAAAAAAACACACACAGAAAAAGTACCATTTCCATGGTAGAACATCAGTAATACCAAGATTTTCAGAAAACAAATTAAAATTAAAAAGACCAACTGTCACCTCAAAGCAAAACCAACCAAATAAATAAACCAAAAAAGCAAATTAAAAACACCATGAACTTGGCTTAAGAATGTTAGAAAGCCCTAAAAGGAGGTGAAAATGAACTTTAGATACAATTTCAGGACACAGTATAATTGTGGCAGATTTTTACTCAGAAGGACACACAAGCAAAACTGTATCTTTTGTTTTTATGCAGCTTTTCAGCTTATTACCAAGTGGTTTCCATGATTAATTATTTCTTAGGAGTGGGTAGCTTGGAACTGCTGAGTTGGGCAACCCTGCAATTGCTGAGAAATTAATTTACTGAAATTGTAGGGGAGTGTATCTTTAGCAGTCCCTGATAATTTTCTTCCTCCTCTTGATTTTGCCAACATGTGATAACTATTATACATTTTAAACTAAACCAACTAACCATCCTACTTCATATAGATGAAATATTTTCTTAAACGAAATATAAGAAATTGACCTTGTCTTAATAAACTGGAATTATCATGAAAGTAATATATTATCTTAAATTTAAAATGCTATTATTTTGAACAAAATATTCTTCATAATTATTGGCACATTACTATTAAGTGCCGACAAGTCAGTTCTGACTCATAGTGACCCTGTAAAGGGTTTCTGAAAAGCAGTTGGTGGGTCTGAACTGCCAACTTTGTGGTTAGAAGTCCAGTGCTGATCCTACAGCATCACACCAGTCAGTAACATTATCATTTTCAATTTTTGTTGTTATTCATTCTGTATCTCTCAACAGATGATGCTGTTGGGATCGTCACTAACAGAAGTTCCACTTGTCTAGCTATCTAAGGGTTGAGGATATCTGGGAGAGAGACTGTAAGAACTATACATTATATACAATGGTTAGCTTGACATCATCTTCTCCATTAGAGCAAACATTTGGGGGTCTAGACTTTCAGACAGGTTTCCAGAGAGCAGAGACTTCTCTCCTTATTTAGGGATTTCCACCAGACTATAGACACACTTTTTGAGATCTCCATTTGATAAAGCAGAGAATGATCCTCTCTCATTTTGGGCACAATTCACAATTAAAACTCTGTTGTGATGATTTGCAATCCTGAGGTCAAATACAATTTTATAGGACTTATTCTTTTTCTCCTATGTTGTATACATTTTCTATTATTTTATGTCATGATTTTTTAAATCACATCACTAAATGAAATCTCTCTACCAGTCTTGGACAGTGCCACATAAAATACCTGGTCCTTTCTGGCTAATGCAATAGCCAGTCCTTCTGCCATTTTGGCTCTGTTGGCTTGGAATGTCTCATTCTGCTCTTGAAATTTCCGCATGGAAGCTGTTAACAAAGAGGCTCTATTTGAGATATAGAAACATTCCAGAAACAGCTTGACAAATAAGCAAATTTTCTATGTGATTACTTTACAACTGTCACTTAACATAAGGCCAAAGCCACGTAAGTAGATTCTCAAACTGGGAAAAGATTCTCACTCTTGAGTTTCCCAGAAGAATCTTCTGGGTTTAGTGATGGACCAGAGTTTTTCTTTGTTGTTTGTTTCCTGTCAGTTTTATTTGTCTAACAGTTAATTACATACATTTAAGAATACCCCAGAGGTAACTTTGTACACAGTGCAAAGATAGAATACTAAGGTTAAAATAAAAAACCAAACCCACTGCCACTGAATCCATTCCAACCCATAGTGACCCTACACAAGGTTGCTGAAATTGGCCATCTTTACAGGAGCAGCCAGCCTCATCTTTTTCCTGTGGAGCCACTGGTAGGTTTGAGCTGCCAAGTTTGTGGTTAGCAGTCTAATATTATCCTATAGTCCAAGCAGGGCCCTCAGGTTGCCAAAAAATACCAATGATGCTGTTAATTGATGGTTACTACCATCTTGACAGCATTCAAAACAAAACAAACATTTCTTTCACTTTACTTTCCTTTAAAAATTTTTAGCATATATTAATAACATATAACTTCCTACTTTTGTTAGCATTTTTGGGAGGATGGAATTCAAAGGAGAACACATGCTTTAAGGTACACTAAACAAAATGTATGTTCTCTTGTTAGGAGACAGGTAGTAATGACAGTCACAGGTTTCCCTGGTATGGAACAAAGCAGCAATGAAGTTAAGGTGACAGGACAAGTCTCCTAACCTAGGTTCAAGGGCCAGACAATTTAGGGTTTACTAAAATCTCAGGGCAGTCAATAAACTGGTCAACTGAATGGGCACAATATAATACACATAAATAAGAACCTCCTCCTAAGAAGCATGCATCGAAAGCAACACAAATAAAAGTTGTATACAAATGTATCAAACTGTTTAAGCAGCACATTGTGTGAAATGAAGATCTGAACTCTGCTGAGAGACAAACATATATGCACTATTATTTCATATAAAAACTAAACCCTGGAAAGTCTAAAAAAAGAGCAGTAAAAAAAATACGTACAATCCTGATGTTTTTCTAATGCAATTTCGAGCTTCTCTTTTATCTTCTGATGGTTTCGGACTTGTTCAGCATAGTCTTGGGTGAGGAGGAGGATGCACATACCAGGAACGAACAACATCAGGAAAGGGAGTTAATTAAACAAACAAACAAAAAAATATGACTGAAAAATGATGATGATTTTCTCAACCTGAAAACCATTCCTGTTAAGGAAAGTTAGGCAGACAGTTTCCCATTAACAATGAACAATTCAGGCAAAGAGGTATAGTAGAAACTAGCTACAAAAGATTAGGACAAACAGGCAGAGTTGGTCAGCTTTTATATAATACAAGAATTAAGCCTGCTCTCATCTGGTCATCAGACATAGCCTGCTATGAAGAAAGCACTGTTATCTCATTAACTCAAATCTCACTTTCACACTTTTCGTTTCAGTCTCCACAGTAGGTTAGATCAAAAGGAACTCATAAAATAGCTTGCTCTTAGTCTGTTCAACTTAGTCACAGTGGTTAGAGCAACAGCAAAAACTTTTACAGTGAAAAGTACTTAATTTTCAAGAAAAATCAATTTCCTTCCTACACAGGAACTGGGAACTGAGCTGCCTATGCCATATTAAAGGTCAAGGTCAAAATGAATTTACCTGGGTGGCCAAAGAAGACAGTGTGCTATAGTGGGAAATAAGACTTAAATTCAAATCCCAACTCTGTTAGTCTTTAGAAGGGGGACTTTAATTAAATTATTGATCCTAAGTATTAGTTTCTTCATTTATCAAATGATGACAGTAATGTAGCTACCTTAAAATATACGTTACAGAGAGAACAAACAAGATGGCGGATCGGGTAGAAGTGCGGTAAAGGAACTCCACCAACAACACAGAATACCTGACCAAGCAGGCTCCAGAGGATGGTCCCAGAACTTTGAACCACATATAAAGGAATATTTAGAAGGTTGGAAGGCTCACAGCTTGGGTAATTTGTGGGAGAAGCTAGAAATCTATTGCTTTCTAGTCCGGGACACTCAGCTGCTCCAGGAGCCGCCATCTTGGGTGAGACCATATGGGGGAAGGATCGGAGTGGTCACAGACGCCTGGCAGAACCGCTGAGATAAAGGTGTGGACATTCTTTTCTTTTGGTATCTGTTCATTGGTCCCTTGCTGTCTGCGCACCTCTATTCTGGTGACTATAAGGGTGCCTGAGCTAGTGGGCATCCCAGCTCCACCCTCGGAGGGTTCCACTATGCATGCACACAGATCTTCTCAAAATTTAAAGACACAGTGTCCAATTAAAACCAAATGGCCACAGCCAGCCCTGACCTGTTTACAACTAGAAACAAGTACTGAACGGGGATTGTGGCGTGGGACAAGCAGACAAAAAAGGAAATAAGCCGAAAATTAAATCCTAAGTTACGTCAAAACGACCAACAGTGGTATCTTGAAACTTCTCAGGAAGAAGAGTGAAAAGGGAAGCCCATTTCCTGATCACACTTACCTGGAGGCATTCAGAAAGCATAAAAAATACCAAAATACATACCATTCTAAGTACTAATTCCACAGATAACCCCTGAAGATGCCCAAAAAACAGAAGCAGATGACCATATCTGCACATGTCCAGAAACAAGATAAAGTG